CTCCATCTCTCCTAACACATTCCCAGCCTCTTGCGACTGGCTTTGTGTTCCTGGATACAGCGGTACCCGCCTTTGGCGTTCTGTCTCAGCCACTGGTTGCAAAGGTAGCACCCACTCCAGATGGGAGCCCAGTAGACCACACAGGAATAAATGCCTCTGAAGCTTGGGCTTCGAAAAAACACAAAGACCAACAAGGAAGAATTTGAGCAGATCCTCATGATTACCACTGTGGAAGGCTGATAGGAACACAAAGCCAGTCGCGTTTCGCACCACTGGGATACACAAGCTGTCAGCAGGTGCGTTTCACAAGCTCAACGCTGCGACAAGCTTCTGGGATTAACAGCTTGGTGCTGGAGTCGTTCAGCTTGCGACAGTTGCACATCAGAATTGCACAATCACATTACAAGAACAGACAGCCATCACCGTGTGTACAAAGGAATATCGCTGACATATTAACACTGGTACTGTTCTGTGGCTTTGTGCTGCTCACCAACCTTTTCCACAGATTTGAGAATGCGGATCTACCAATCTGCCGCGGTCTCCTTCCACTCAATCGACACGACGACACAAACGGCAAGGTGTCTAAAAATTTAACTTCTTGGCCTATGCGAAACATATCGACACAATTGTTCTCGGAACACGTTCCAGCTACACAGGAAGAGCGCAAAGGGGGTTTGTCAATTCATAACCACAAGCCTTTGGTGGGTTGCAATCACCATCAAGAATCAAGAAGTGACAAGAACCCTCCAAAAGAAATGCCTATATTTCATTTAAAAATTAGCCGAGACAGCGGCCAGTGACCAACTGGCTGGCCTGCCATCTCTCTGAAGCATCAGAATGGCTTCAAGCAACAGTAAAAGTGCGAAGGCGCTTGTCTATTCATGCCCGGCAGGCGACCGGAAAGTGCAAAGGCGGTTGTAATTCATGCCCCACAGGTGGACCGAAAAGTGCAAAGGCGGTTGTCAATTCATGCCCACAGGTGGACTGAACAGAGCTTCAAAGACCTCATCATTCCCTTGCTGTGAACCTCAATGGCCCAAGTGCCTCTAGATGCATGTCACACTAGTGAGCACTGTAAGAGAACAATGCAACATACTGATGACCCTGACCGCTGCATCAAACAGCCGTTACAATGTTCCGCTGGCGGGTTGTCCTTCAGCTCTGCGCGATAAACAGGCTCGACACCAAGACCGCTAATTCCTGGAACGGCAGGCCCTGCTCACTTCAAACACTGGGTCACGATTGATGTGAAACTGCAACTTCTCATAAAGCCAGGCCTCCTTGCTTCTGTTTACACCGTTCCGCTGGCGCGTTGTCTTCAGCTCTGCGCGATAAACAGGCTCGACACCGAGACCGTTAATTCACTGGAACGGCAGGCCCTGCTCCCTTCAAACACTGGGTCATGATTGGTGTGAAACTGCAGCTTCTCATAAAGTCCCTCACTTAAGTCTTACAGTACGAGAAGGCCTCCTTACTTCTGTTTACACCGTTCCGCTGGCGCGCTGTGCTTCAGCTCTGCGCGATAAACAAGCTCGACACCGAGACCGCTAATTCACTGGAACCGCAGGCCCTGCTCCCTTCAAACACTGCATCACGATTGATGTGAAACTGCAGCTTCTCATAAAGCCCCGCACTTGCCAGAAGCCTTACAGGATAAAAAAGGCCTCCTTACTTCTGCAAAGCCTCTTTACTTCCACAGCTTTCTATGAAACCTCTCTATTGCAATAGCGTTCTGGAAGACTCTCACGAAGCCATAGCGTTCTGGAAGACTCTCACGAAGCCTTGTTCCTGCCCATTGTTTTTCATGAAGTCTGCCCATCGCCTCATATTCGTGTGAGCGGCTACATGTCGGCTTTATGGATTGCACAGGAAAGGATATAAACTACAACTTCTGCTCCCACGGCTTTGTGAGCCCCTCTCCAGCAGAGTCGATACGGAGCCTCTCTCCATTGCCATAGCTTAACACAAGGCATCTGCTTCCATAGCTTGTCATAAAGCCCCTTTACTGTTGTCAGGTCCTTTACGATGGCTGCCGAATCGCCGATCACCAGCACTATTTGCAAGCCTCTCCATGTCTGCCCTGTCACTCTGAGACACCCCAGACTTTCCTGCAGCATATACCTACAAAATCCATACTTAGCCCTACGGGCACATCATCAAGTCCTCTTACTTACCCACGTCTTCATATCAGATTTCTGTCACCTCCGGGTGGTGGAGGGGTCTGGTCAAGGCTTGAAGATGAGGGGTGCTTCAGCGGTGGAATTCTTGGCAGTGCTTCTCTCAATCCCCCGCGGTGTTCCTTCTCCTTCTTCTTCCTTCCAGTTCTTCGCTTATTCATGCTTACGCGTTGTGCAATATCCCATGACCTTGCTGGCGCCTTCACACCCTCCTGCGATGCAAAGAAGGACTCAAACTCAGGTGTGTCAAACGAGAAGCCAGTGTCTGCAACCAAAAGGAGGAGAGAATATTGTCAAGGAAAACATGACAACAAGATTTCCCACAGTTGATAGACATCGGGTGTGTCAAACGGTAGCAGAGGGGGGTAAATGAGCTTACAGCCTGGTCTTACAGCCTGGTCTGGCCATTGATTGAAGCCTATAGCAACAATAACTATGTCTGTCAAAGAGAGGAAGGGGGTCGTAGGAGTGGATGGGAGGCGCAGCTACTGGCAAAACGCTCGGTCTTCGTGTTAGCCGGTCCCCCCCGCTGGCGGCCCCACCCTACTCCCTGACCACCGCCGATTAGGGTGGGGGGCAACATGCATCCCCTTAATTGTGAGAGGTAACTATGCTTGCAGGGGTCCCCTGTATACGCTTAGTAGCAGTCGTAGTAGGTAGATAGTGAAAGGTGAAATTGAGAGGAGAATATAGCCTACTTTTAGAAAAACAAAAAACAAAGCAAAGCAGGAATTACAGGCAGCACTCATCTGTTGAAGAAACGGCATTCCAGAACATGATGTTCCGAAACACTTATCAGAAGGTGTCGTGTGGTTAAATGGCAAGCCACCAATCACATTAGTTGTGCACCAACGTTAAAGAAAGACGGCCGGCCAGACCCAGAGAGAGCGTAAAGCAAATTAACAACAAAGCAAGTCGTGCCCTGCTGTTAGTCTGACTTAGCATACATTGGTCAGGTGTCCAATTGTTTCATGTACAGTTATTAGAAGGGTCTAAACCGCCAGTTCACACGAGCCTAAGTTGACGAAGCAACATTCCAATGCTCATGGGCCTGCAACCGCGCATTTTCAAAAGTGGCATGCCGCTTTTGCTACCGGCCCAGACCCGAATCAAAAAGCTCTTACTGCATGAACCGTTACGCGCAGTTCTCTGCTTCGGGTGAACCCCCGGTTCATCATGCATTATCTTGCCCCGCTCCCCTCCGCCAACCCCTCCTGCATCTGGGAGCTTGCAGAAGAGCTGAGGGGATGGAAAAAATCAGAAAATATACTTCCTGGGTTCTATTCATTTGCAGTCGCCATCACTTGTATCCCCACAAGTCCTCGTGTATGCGTGAAGGCAATTACAGAAATACTTGCACTACTCTTTTAATCCAACGAAGAAAACTTTGGGAATTCCAAACAGCAAGAAACACTAACATTGGAACAATACAGAGAAGATTAGCATGGCCCCTGCACAAGGATGACACATAAATTGTGTGTGTGTGTGCTTGTGTGTGTGTTGTCATATTCGCTATACACTAAAAAAAAGCATGACTGTACCAGACTGTCTCGTCGGGCTTTCACTGACTCGTCAGGAGGTTGACCCCGTGTGTGTGTGTGTGTGTGTGTGTGTGTGTGTGTGTGTGTGCGTGTGTGTGTGTGTGTGTTTGTGTGTGTGCGCGCGCGTGTGTGTGTTGTTTTAAAAGACCCCAGATTCCCTCTCATTCCCTTCACAAATCATCACATGCCATCCAGAACGAGAAAGCATAGATAAGCAATATAATAGAAAATGCAAGGTTGGCCATGTTTGTGTGGTTCAGCACCAAGTGCCCACAAACCCATCTGCCGCCAAAGCGGCACACTTGCACATATACGTATGTATACATATATCGTCAAATAGAACTGCCCGGTAAACCGTAGGCAGAGAGGGAGAAGAGGACAACAAACGAGGGGCTGTGACAAACTGTTTTGTCGGAGTTTCACCGACTCATCAGGAGGCTGAACCCATACATATTTCAAACCATAAGGCAATGTGTGTG